TCCTGATGCCCCTCGTTCCCAACCTGCAGCTCCCACCCCCCCAGTGCCCTTCACTCTTGGCCTGCAGCTCTACAGCAGCCCCTCACCCCTGGCATGCAGCCCCCCAGTGCCCCTCACTCCCTACCCACAGCCCCCTGCCCAGCTGATGCCCCCCCATTCCTGACCCACAGCCCCTATGTCCTCAGTGCCCTCACTCCCAACCCGCAGCCCCCCAGCCCACCTGCTGCAGGCTGGTGCTCCAGACGCAGTGCTGCCAGCCACCGTCAGCACCCTTGGAGCGCAGGCAGTCTGCGCAGGCGCTGTGGCTGTGGCAGGGTGTGGGGCAGGGCAATGGTGGCGACGACTCCACCGGCATTGGTGACACATTGAGCAGCGAGTGGCTGAAGCATGTCCAGTCGTAGGTGGGCTGCACGCTCAGGATTCGCCGCGTCTCCCCTGCCAAGGGGGCATGAACATTCGTGTGCGTGTGCACACGCGTATGCCTCTGTGTGTTCCAGTGCACTGGAGCTGCCATGTCCCCGAGCGTGTGCCCAAAACCTTGTATGCATGTGTGCTCATGTATGCACAACCTTCTCCTTGAGTGTGCTAATGAGTGAGGTGCACATACATGTTGAATGCATGTGCTAATACATGCACCTCTGCTGTGTGTGCACACTATTATGACTCTGCCCCACCTCCATGCATGTGCAAACCCATGTGCTGTCTCTCCAGGGTACTGGTGCACACACCCATGAGCACACACAAGATTCCCTCCCCTCATATACACTAGTGTGTTGCACACGCATCCCCCTTCATCCTGGTGATTTGTTTGGGTTTTTTTTAATTAAATTTTCCGTATTCCAAGCCAAATTAGCCAAAACAAATTCCTACTCTGAGAGTCAGTCTACAACCATAAGTGGCCCTCCTACTGGCAAACATCCTCCATGTGCACCTGGGGCTTCAAATGTTTCCACAATTGTTGGTGGGCATCCTACTTGCAGGCCCAAGCTCGGAGGCTTGGGGTTCAGATGCCCCCGAGCTTTGCTTGCCCTCAGCCATAAGGCCCCAGGGGCAAGTCAAGGAGGAGTCACTCATTTCCATAAAATGGGCATAAAGCCAAGACCTTCCCACTCCAGCAGTTAAGTGGGAGGTTTACTATGCATTACCTTGGCAGGTACTATCCCCGTGCCTAGAGAGCAGTCTTCCCTGGTATGGCCAGGAAGACCGCCTCCATGGTCACAGTGTTTCCTTTGCCAAGTAAGCATAGACTACACTTGATCTTAGCCATCAAGAAGCCTTCATGATTATCTCGGTATGTGTTACATGTGGGCACCCTCCATGTCTTGCCACACACATAGCAAGTGTGCAAGATCCGCACCCCCCCAGGGCAGACCATTGAAGCATGGTACGAGTCCCGTCCCCCCCTGGTGAGCACACTGCACACGCCGTGGTGCCCACATACCTGTGCGCTTGAATTGGCGCGTCCACATGCACTTGCCAGCAGCCGTGCACTTGGGGCAGTCAGAGGCCTCACAGGAGACCTCGGAGCAGTTGCCAGCCGCAAAGATCTCGCGCTGGTTGATACGACAGTCGTTCTCCGACGTGCAGATCCCAGCGCTGCCGATGCAGGCACCCTCGGGGCAGTTTGTGCACCACTTGCACTGCGGCAGCCCCTGCGCCGGGGGCAAAAGAAGGACAGGGTGAGCTCAGCCCCTAGGCTCCACCCCCCCGCCCCCCCCCCCAGCCTCACATGGGCAGGGCCGGGCGTGGGGGCAGGGCCCGGCCGAGCAGCAGCACGGGGGTGCAGCGCCAGGCACTCACTGCAGGTCCGGAGGCGCCGGCACTCGTCGGGCGATCGTGGCGCCGGGAAGCAGGGGGCAGCGCCGGGAGGGCAGCCCAACCTGGGGGAAAGGGGGCAGACACTCAGCAAGGCCACGCCCATAATGCCATTGACCCCACCCCGCCCCGTGCATGACATTCGCATAGCCACCCTCCATGCAGACCCCACCTGTTCCCTTTAGCCCTGCCCCTATGCAGCCTGACCACGCCCCCAACAGCCCCACCTCTGCTCAGCAGCCCTGCCTTCTCATCAGCATAGCCACTCCCCCTTTGTAGCTCCACCCCCACACCCCTATAGTCCCTTCCTCTGCTACCTGTTAGAAGGGGCACGGGGGCACCCCTTATAGCCCTGCCCATTAGCTCCACCCTCACCTGCTTAGCCCCGCCCCTCACCTCTCGGCGGCGTCAGCGGAGACGCAGGCCCC